TGGACTTTCGAAAATTAGCTACAATTTGGTAGCTAGCAAACTTCTAAAATCAACAGTGAGCTTTTGAAAACTGCGTATTTTAACAACATATATATTAGGGGTGTAAATGAGTTGAGCCGGCTCGATAAGAGCTCGAACTCGAATTTTTCGAGTTCGAGCTTTCTGACGAGTCGAGCCCGAGCTCATTTTTAGTTGTCTGTGAGCTTGCGAGCCGGCTCGCGAGTTTTTTTTTTTAATTAATGTAACATAAATATTAAATTCATATAAATAATTTTAAAAAATAAATCCCAGGTCATTTTTTATTTTGATTTTTTTTAATTAATTATAATTTATAATAATATTAATTAATAACAAATAAGAAAATATACAAAATGACTCAGGCTCGAGCTCGAGTTCGAGATTGAGAAGCTCGGCTCGCTCGAGCTCGACAATCTCGGCTCTTTTATACCCCTAATATAGATGACATTAGCCTTTCAAAAGTTGGTTGCGAACTTCATAATTGATAATTGGTACTGAACTTTTGAAAAATTAGTTCAAATTCCTCTTTTATCTCTCTCTCTCCTTCCTCCTTTTAAAACGAGGCCATCTCCTTAGAGAACTCGAACCCATTCTCCACCATCAGCCTCTCCACGTAATCGCCGATGATTATTCCAAACACCATGACAACCTCGATTCTAGATGGTCGGAGAATGTTGGGGGAATTCTCTGTGATATGTGATTTGAGTGTTTCGGTGGATGATTTGGTGAAGGTGAATCTTTTGGTGACAAATTTCCTGGAGAGGAGTTACTTGATTGGTAGACTGAAGAAATTGAGTTTGAAATCGTTTAGAAGAAAAAGAATGGATGAGTTGGAGAGAATATGAAACTAGATTGGGTTGAATCTCAATTTCAGTAACACATCAAATGAGGAGGAGGGGGAAGAAGAAGAACAAGAAATGGACGTAAAGGAAAGAAGAGGAATATACTAAATAGAGGGAAAATGATCAAGAATAAGAAAAGAAATGGAGGGGAAGAAGGATTAATTAGGGCATTTGAAGATTTTGATTTTAAAAGATAATTAAGCCCTAATTAAAGTAGCCATGTGCAACAAT